GTAAAAAACGCCCCTTCGCACCGGCAGTTTCGCCGGTCATTTTTTTTTTTTTTTTTGTGTAGGCGTTGTTGTTCATTGGCATTACAGAACGAATTTTCTTCCACTGCAAAAAGCTCAGGTTCCGTACTGCCTCTCTGGAAAAGATAAACAGGTTTAAATTGAAACCCAAAAAATTTTAGTTCATAAATCGGCTCTTATTCTAAATATTCTGGCACTGTTCGCGAAATTGTATTTGATGGTAGTTTTTTTTTTTTTTCTTTTTTTTTTATGCAATTTCTTTGTGTTTGAGCGTTTTTGATTTCTTGTTCGCCTTGTGAATTTCGACAGGCGCTGGTTTCCCGTTTTTTGCTGAGATGCGCAAAGTTTGTCTAGAGGGGAGATGAGCACACCTGGTGGCGATAGGGCATTAAATTAGTCGCGAACCTTTGATTTGGAAACTGAATCCCGAAATGCTGAATTGAAACGTGTGTGTTCAACCAAAATGATGCCGTTTTGGGCTGCCAGTGAATTTCGTATTTCTCATGCCCAGCTCTTGTCTTCTGTTGTGATTCGAATTTTTGTCTTCAGCTTCAGTATCCTATTCTGTGCCGTTTCCACTTGCTTATTTTGCTGATTTTTAGCCATAAATTTAGTTTGTTTTCTGTCTGTCTTCCCTGATTGTATTTTCTGTATTTTCGGCTCGTTTGTTCTCACTTTTCTAGTTCGGATGTTCTTCATTTCGCGAGTTCTATTGTTGCGCAAGAGAATGGGTGGTATATTGTTTCACAAATGATCTTGTGCAGCTGGCCTCGACAGACTTGCGTTGCATGTTGTTTGCAATCCGCTAGCAGCTTTGTGTTTCTTATGTTTCCTAAGAGACGAGTTGTCGGTTATATTTGGGTGGACAGTTTCACACCAGCATATTACCGCTGAAAAATTCGTTTTGCTTATTAGACTGACTTGTACACTATCACTTTCATAGCCTCGCAGACTTCCCTCTGACTACATTTCGAGGTTCATATGAACAAAATTCGACGGGTGTTTGGCCATTTCACACTTGTCCGACTCCTCTTGATTGCCTTTCTTTTAGGAGTCAGGCGAAGTAAGCGCTTTTCCGTATAATATTTTGAAAGTTGGAATCTGCCGCTTTGTCGGCGCAGATTTGGGGATGGCAATGCCACCAGACTCGGGGAGCAGTACGGTCTTCTTCGGGCCGGTTACAGTCAGTTCTCTGATCCTGGGCGTGTGCAAGTGCGGAGATAAATGTAAAGAAAAGTCAAAGCTGCAGTGTGAAAAGTTGTTCTGGAAGTCACAATTAATATTTATCGTAGTTTTATCACACTTCTTTTATTGCTATCTTTGACAAGTTTTTATTTCATAACTCTTACATTAGTCATGACTGCGCTTCGTGGTAAGGTGTACAGTTTTTGTTTGATATGTGTTTTTTTTTTATGCTTTTTTTTTTATATGTATGCAATGCAAAAACGCGTATTGTTGAGGAGTTGTGTGTGTGTGTGTGTGTGTGTGTGTGTTGTGTGCGTCTGTGTGTGTGCGTCGGCACCAGTTTTCATCTCGAGGTTTACAAAAGCTACAAGGCTGAAACTTAGGCAAATTGGTGCCTGTGTGCAGGGCCTTTTACGCAAAATAAGCACTCACGCCCACGTGGTTCTCACGTGCCGTCACGTGAAAGATTTCTTGGCTGGGTCGCGAGCCACGCAATCTGGAAGGTTGTAAATCCAGGAAGATATTCTTTAGCTACGTCCAACCCAAAGATTTTAAAGTCTGCCTTCATGCAACTCGGGCTCAGCCAGTAATTGGCAGCATGTCAACTGGAGAATTAAACTGAGTAAAAACTTAGAATGGGCTACGATTTTGTTGGGCAGGCACATGTGAAGGCAACGACGCAAAACCTTCGGGGAAATTGTGCAAAAAACGCATCATCACACCGGCAGTCGTTGTGCTGTCGAATTATTTTTTTTTTTTCTTTTCGAAGACGTTCATCTACAGAAGAATTAGTGTGAGGACAGAGAAAAGAAGCATGGCTGTCCTTTCTCTTTTACTTTATTAGGATGCACGAAAATAACCCGTATTGAGAAAAAAATGGGAGATAAAAAATAAAAAGACATTATTTAGCCGGAGTATCGTTGCCGCTAGAGCGGTTTCTTCTAGTGATCGGGTTATCATTTGGGCTGTAGACAGGTTTTCCGGTTCTCCGGAGGTGTTTTGAGGATGGAATAAACGTTTTGAAGTGTTAAGGCGATATATTGTGCTTTTTGTCGTTTTTTTTTTTGTATTTGTGAATTTTGTGTATTTGTTTGTGGTTCTTGTGGAAGGTGAGGGGATGATAATTCATTGCGATAAACAGACGGCCATTGCGGCTAGTCGGGAATTAGGCTTTTTGATGGTGGTGAAGGATTGGGGACGAGTGGATGCATAAGCTGTGAAAGAAATTAGGTGCAAAGTGAAGACGATAATGCAGATGTGTTGTCTTGTATACAGTTGTGTATGGTTTGCAACAATTGATTTTGTTTATTGACTTTGCACTTTGAGCCTTTGATTGAGTTTTTGCGGAATGCTGCACTTTCTTATTCTGTGCAAATTTTGAGCCTTTCATACTTTGTTTAAAATGCGCAACTTTGCGGTTGGTAACTAACTTGTTTATTAACTGCAGATATGATATGTGGTCCATTCCATGCTCCTGTTTGCGCTCAGTAAAACTTATTTTTTACGAATCATTGAGGTTTTTTGCATTGCAAATGTATAATACAGGTTTTTATCTTGTATGGGGATAAGTTACTTGGACCCGGTTCGTGAATGTCGGTATTTGCTTCTCAGGTAGCAGCTGCCAGGATGTTTTCTTTAGGCTTTTACATGATTTTACTAACTGCGAAGGCATTATGAAAGGGTAGTTTAAAAGAATAGAGATGTGAACGAGAACATAAGCCGAATTCCTCTCGTAACTTGTCCAGAAATGCTGTAACAGAGAAGATGATAGGCGAGCATTTTTACCTGGGAATGCTCCCCCACCATTTTTCTGTAAAAATTCTTAATTTGGAAGATGGTTTCCTTCTTTGGAATAAGGACAAGCGTTGTCCTCAACGTGCTGTATCAGACCAAAATCAGAATTAGGTTTGTACAAAATTAGGTTTGGACGGTAAAATCAAAGTTTCGTTTTGGTAACACTGTACAGATTATCTTCCCCTCCTTCAGCGTGGACTTACGGGTTTCTACAGTTCTGCTGATAAGTGCAGAAAGTCGTACAACTATTATTCACATTCGCACGGGGCCGATGTTCAGAAGCTTACGTTTGAGCCTTGAAGGGCCAGTGGATGCCAAATCATTGTTTCCTGTTTTCCAAGGGTCAATAGAAACTGATTGTTTTGTTTACCTTCCTGTTTTTAGGTTTCATATTTGTCTGTAGGAACCACCAAGTTATGAATCTTATTCTGCTTAGACACTGCGATAAGTGTCGCTTTTGCCCCATCACAGTTGGAGCTGGGGCAGTGGATTTTACGAGGGCTGAGGGTTTTAACTGAAAATGAAGCGTGGAGTGCCAGGTTATCTCAGTGTCGGAGGTTTGTACGGATCTAAGAGATCCATTTGAGTGATTTTTAGGCAGGACTCTTCTGTACTGGTTTAGAATGGACGTGGATGCGAAAGAGATCAATGCGCACGGTGAGTTCCTACGGGATCCTGCGCAGTGTTCTGATCATGATAACAGTGATAGCGGCAGTTCCACGGTTATCAGAGAGGGTTCAGCGCAGATTGACGTCTTATCTGCAGTCGATGCATTTTACAATCCAGCGCAGCAGTTCAATCGGGATTTGACGTAAGAATTTTTCCTGCTGATGCATTCATATAGCTGGTTTGACCCTGGTTGAGAGGCGATACTGCCTAGCACACTGCTCGAGAATTTATTGCCTTTTGCGCTTTTGATTTGGTTTCTTTCGCAGTGCGATCTTACAGAACGAGAGAAATTGAAAACCAGACATGCAAACACAAAACGGGAACTGGTGTGTTTATAAAGAGCACTGACAATAGGCCTCGTTTGAAACATGGAGGATATGATGGTCGGCTAGCAGTTCCTTGGTTTCGACTTTCTTTCATGAAACACTGGAGGTGTGGTGAGAACAGTGTGTGTAGGCATCTGTTACTGAATCGGTTTAGAATACTTTCCCAGCAACACTCGTCGCAGAATCATACCGGTCTAAGGCGGCACTCGCTAACTGTGCGTAGAGTTATGGTAGGAGGGGAGCGGAGAGGCAGTTATCCCAAAGTAAAAAGTGCTCAAAAGTGAAAAGAGGACGGTCAACATTAGTTTATAAGGCTACACGTTTCGCAAACGCTTATAGATGTATATGAACTGATGCATTTGCGCCGGCTATAATTAATGTGGTCTCGAAAAAAAAGAAAAAAATTAATGTGGTTTCGAAAAAATGGTTTCGAAAAAATGTTGGATTTTTGTTCCTGTTTCACATTGGAAGTACAACTTTATCTCGAGTTTGGAGTGATTTGAGCATTTGCTCAGCGCAAAAGCTTGGATGTTGATTTCAGATCTTTCTCTTCCACTTTTCGGTGAAATTTGTTTTTCAAAATTTCGAGGTTGTGGTATCTTTCTTCCTGGATCTCTTGCAGTACCTTAAACTTTGATTTGAAGTCATACTCGGATCACATCACCTGATTCTTCTTCCTGTATTCTTTGATTAACTGGACCTTTAAGATTTCGACTTCTTGGCTTAAGCTTTTCCCAATTCGTAGTGTTGGCTGCATTTTCGCTCTCAGTTTAAGTGTCACTGAAATTTCAGAACTCGAAATTCTCAAACTTCAGAAATTTTCCAAGAAATTTCAGAACTCAAATTCTCGAAATGAAACTTTTAAGCTTCAGAACACTGAAAAGTCTAGAAATTGGTTCCGCACCTATGGCGTCATGCACGTTTTGGAACTGTTTCCCATGCATGTTCCGAAATTATTTCCCAGAATTTCAGCCTCGTAGCCTGCACAGTTATGAAGTTGAAGTGCTCGAGCAGATACGCGCATCAGCTTTTGGTGTCCATATTGCATGTTTTTAGCTTATGCAGCAATGCATAAATGATGCAAAAAATTCATTCGAGGGGCGTAAAATTTAACCAAAGTGAGCAGAAGTCGAAGATAAGTAAATATGTGAATTGCTTTCAAAAATAAGTTGATAAGAAGGGGATAAAATGCATGTGAAAAGTGAAAAGTGAGTATAAAAATGCTTTACGAAAGATTTACTCAATCACATTTAGTTTAAAATGGGGAAGTTTGGTCAAACGTACTCGTAATGGTCACGGGGTAGTATTGTGGTTGTAAGGGCGAAATTATTGACTCACTTTTGTTTTTTTTTGGAAGCTTGGTGTCCCACTAATTTATGCCTCAAATTTAAGGATAATAGTCCTTCAGCAGTTTGTGGACGACCGGAAAGAAGAATTGAAAAACAAATCTTCAAATGGACAGGCAGGCAGCGAGGAACCCCTTGCGAAACGACCAAAGAAGTTTGATGTGCGCAATGTAAATTTTGCATTTTGTTATTCTTTGCGGCAGATGGGCGGGAGTGTCGTTTGCGTTGCTTTCTGGCAGTGAGTAAATGGTATGCAACGATAGAAGACGACAGTCGGATTGTCTGCAGGATGACCCGCGTATTTTTATGCGTTTTTTGCAGCAATGCAATGCGAAAAACGCATATTGACGAGAGGTTGTCTGT